GGATGGCACGCTCCATGTATCATCTTCTTCCTCTCCACCTTGATCCTCACTGAGCTCAACATGTATCTCAGCACCCAAACAATAAGGATTTTGTGCCATAAAATTCCAAAGCACATCCAAGCTATCATCATCCACAATAGGTAACGCATAATGAAATAAAACATCATTCTGCCATTCTGGAAGATGGTAAGTGAAACCTGTGATCACATCACTATCTTTTACTGCTTCGTCTCTGCGCCGTATTCTCGGAATTAGAGTCTCACAAAGTTTGTGATATGTGACTCTGGATGGAACCGTCAACTTAAAACTACTACCACCAACGAATTTGATGCCCAAATTATCCTCTACTTTCTCCGATTTCCACCGAACAACTAGTTCAAATCTTCTAAAATCACTACAAAAAAACAAACTCACTAATTAAAAACTAAACACAATCATAATAGCATTTGAATAATATAATTACAAAAATAAATGTGTCTCTTACCTATTAGCCATTTTTGCAGCAGCAACCAGAGCTCTCTCCTCTATTTTGGACGATTTTTTTTGTGGTGTGAATCTGAAATGAAATAGTCTGGGTTTTATAAGGTGGGTGGCCAATGATTTCCCACCTACTCGCCTCAGTCTCGGGCGCCACCGCCTGAGTCTTGGGCGCCACCGCCTGTGTCTTGAGCGCCGCCGCTGCCAACTAAATAAAACGGTCCAAAAACCAAGCTAAAGCGGCAGCGCCTGAGTCTCAGGTGTCCCCGCCGATTCTTATCTCTAAAACACAATATCTATGTCAATAGTTTTTAATTGGCCGTATTCGTGGTAAATTAAAAAAAAAACAATATTTCTGTCATTAAAGGCAAATGTGTTGTTTAATTATATACTCTTTGTGGTTCACTCACAAACAAGGGGGTCGGGGCCCCATGCTTATGTGAACGGCTATTTGCCGTCAATCAAATTGCTATTTGCCGCCAACTAAAAAAAAAAAAAAGAATTCAAAATTCTATTCCTTCCTAGTGCCTTCGTCGCCGGTAAAAAAAAAAAAAAAATTTAAATTTTGAATTTTCCCTTCCTTCCCAGTGCCTCCGTCGCCGGCACCGTTCTTCCGTCGTCGGCTAACCTCCCGTCGCCCTCAATCGTCGGAAAACAAGTAAGTTTACTTTTTCCGGCCAGTTTTCCAGTTTTCCGGTAAGTTTTCCAGTTTTCCGGCGAAAAACACGGCGGGCCGAAAAAAAATTGCGGCCCGAACGTCGCCGAGCCGAAAAAAATTTGTGGCCGGGACGACGGCCGGCCGAAAAATTCTTTCGGCCCGGCGACGCCAGGCCCGATTACCAGTCGTAGCGGCTGATAGTCCGATTCAAGTCACATCAACAAAGGGTTTAGGGTTCAGGGTTCACTTAGGGTTTAGGGTTTGAAACACATGGTTCGTGTAGCACTTTGCCCACATTGTCTGATGGTTAGTGATGATTCATGGATGCGTGTACGCATTATATGTCGAGGATAGGCTTTCCCGATGATTTTCCGACGGCTTTTCCGGCGAGCGTTGAATTTTTCTGATTCAATACGTTCTCTGAAAGTTGGATATGTTGTAGATTGTGAAACTCCGTAACCAAAGATGTATATATATACATTTTTTTTCATCGATGATTTTCCGGCGACTTTTCCGGCGACTTTGCTGGCGAGCGTTGAATTTTTCTGATTAAATACGTTCTCTGAAAGTTGGATATGTTGTAGATTGTGAAACTCCTTAACCAAAGATGCATATATATACTCTTTTTTTTTTTGGTTGGCGGCAAATAGCAATTTGGTTGGCGGCAAATAGCAAGCCCCATGCTTATTGATGAGTGTCTATCCCATCTGGGCACTGCTGCACTACTGGTGCCGGCTGGTTTGGTTGTTCATCTTGTGCCGTGTTTGGGCCGGCCAGTGGCATGCCGTTGATTGGTGTAAGGTTTGGCCATTGTTTAAATATAGAGGTGGTAATTAGGATTCAAATTCATGAATTCAATCTAATCTACTCACCAAATTATCTGCCTAATCCAATCCATGATCCAATTGGATTGGTGGATTCATGGATTGAATGACAAGTTACGTTTTACTACCTATACCTTTTGTATTTTACAATTTGGTACCTAAAATTTATTTTTTATACAAAAATACCATTGGGAAATCATGTTTTGGTACCTAATTTTTTTTATTACAACATTTTAGTACCTACCCTTTTCAAAAATTTACATATTGGTCCAAGACTTGGATGTCATTTGGATTCATTGATTAATCCACCAATACATTTGATCCAATCCATAAATCCACCAATCCATTTGATCCAATCCATGAATCCACCAATCCACACATCAATCCATAAATCCAATCCATTTGCCACTCTATTTAAATCAGATAATGAAGGGTCAGGTACAAGTTGAAATTTGTTTCACAATGTTAAAAGTATAAGTTCAGTTTATACCTCGAAGAAGTTTGTACAAAAATTTATAGATACAAATTGAATATGTACCAAAATATTATGAGAAGTTACAAATTCGGTTTGTATTAATAATTTTTTGGGTAAACAAAATATCAGTCCTTATGATGAAAGTAGCGAGGTCTTATTATGCTTGGATAACTACTATTTATGTTATTCATTTAAAAAAAGGTAAGCTGGTAATTACATGCAGTTGCAAGCATACTAGAGTAGTTTTAGACCACTAGTAAGAATTAGGGGTCATTTAAACACTGTGAATGTAATAATAAATATACTAGAATGTAATAATAAATATTTAAAATTAATATTAAAATATCTATTTAAACCCCAACTCAATTAGAAGCTTTAGAAATAGTTAAATAGAACCTAATCAATCATCAATACATCAAAACCAAAAAAAGATACATTGAACACAATCATAAATAATTAAACATATTCCAATATTTGAAAAAATATTTAGAACGAAAAGAACCAAGTACAACATTTAGTAAAAAATATAGAAAAATATAAAAGCTACAACATTTAGTAAAAAATATAGAAAAGAAAATATGACTAAAGGAAGAGAATTAATATTACTAAATATAACTAATATGAAATATCTGTAATATAATATCAGAGAATTAAAAGGAGATCTAACATGGTAAATTAGACCACATCCATTCTTATACTTTAATAGTACTCGAAATATTTTAGCCTTCAACCGACGTGAGGTAGAAGAAGAAAGAAAGAAAGCTGAGATTAGTCTACACTAGGTGTGGTATGGGAGGTCAGGTTCTTTTAAGTGGTATCTAATATAATACATATATTGATGAAATAAACCAAAAACATCTTTAATAGATTCGAATTATTAAGACGCAGGACACACCATTCAGTGAGACAAAACTTCACAAAGCAATAGGTAATGCTTGTTTCATTAGATATATCAATTAGTGTTTAGAATCATTCTTCATAATCATGTTTGAGCTCTCTATTATATACTACTATCCCCCAATAATATATAGTAAACATTTGTGTATTTTTCTCCATTTCCAATTTCCTGCAACGAGAGTGAAAGTAGGAATGACATTTTTGTCTTTACAATTAATTATTTATCTCACATAAAAATATCAACATCAAGATTTGAACCCGAGTATCTTCAAACAAATACAACAATCACAATCATTTACACTGAACAAATTTGTTGTGTCTTTTTGAATACAAAATATACACTAAGTTCAACTCTCTGATAAATCGCAAAACTTTCCATCATGATTAGCAAGCCACTAAGTATACCGTATATATTTTTATGGTGCTTGATACTTCAATTTTCATTGTAGAGTTTCATGTACTTTCTCAATTTTAAATTTTTTTTCTCTCTCCTTAATTTTTGCTAGAGGTAAATTGGTAATTGGCATGGAAAAAACTAATTTTGTCACTACATGTTATGTCCTTGCATTTTTCAATTTAAATTTTGTGGTTTTTATCTTTGTTCTTATCTCTTTCTAACTTTCTCGAAAATTTCCTCCATCGTACAATAGTTTGCACCCTTTTCACTTCCCAGTACAAGACCTCCTTTGAAAATCAATCATCCGGTATCTCTTGGCACGTCGGTTTTATTTTTGGGAATTTAAGTTGGGCATGTAAAAGAGTTAATAAATAATGGAGTTGCAGAAGGAGGATTAGAAATTGAATTTTTGGTTAAAATATGTCTCTTGAGATAAAAATTTGGTTGTACAACGAATAGTGGTGGCTATTGGATCTTTATATTTATGGTTTTTACATCTATCACAACCTATTTCTATCTTAAAACGAGGAATCATTGATTGATTTATTGAAGTAGGTCGATTCTTTATTCAACCTACTGGAACTGATAGACAAGGAGTGTCTAATTTTGTGCCTTATTACTTTGATTGAGTCTATTAGTATATTGGAGATAACCCTAATTTTGTCGTTTGCTCTCAAGTTTTGATGGTCCCCTCTTAGCTGAGTTGTTAGTATATAGTTGACTTGAATCAACAACTCTCCATTTCTTTTTTATTAGTGGCATATTGTTCATAAAAGGAGCGCATTAAACCCTTATGTAGGATTGTAAGGTTTAAGATTTAGTTTCAAACTATCTATGGGGCGTGTGGAATTTCACTAAGCTTTTATACCCTCTTTCTTGACAATCAACTAACCAATAACATTTTAATGAAGGCTAAATTATCATTAGGGCTAATACCACTACAACACCCGAACTATCGCGAAAATGCCACTTGTGTCCTATTGTTTCCAATATTTCATTTGTGTCCTGAACTATGATTCCGTTAGTGTTGACTTTTGTTGACCGTTAGTTTTTAACAAAAAATCTAGTCAGCACTGATGTGGCATCTGACGTGGAATTTTTAAATAATTAAATAACAATTAAAAATGCAAAAAATTAAAAATTAAAAATTCCAAATCTATCTTCCCAATCCCAATCCCGAGCTTGCTCCGCCTCTTCCTCTTAACGACTCAATCCGCCACCACCGCAATCATCCCTCTAATACACTGGTTTGACCCAATCCGCCTCTTCCTCTTACCTGAACCAATCCGCCGCCACCAGTTTTGCCATCGCCTCCCCCACCACGAATAACCCTCCCGTCCGATACACTACCATCCCCCACCAATTCGTCATCGCTCCGCCACCACCCAGAACCTCCTTCAAGCAATCCTCCCTTTCCTTCTCCATCACCACTGTTTCGCCTCCGCCACCAATCCGTCTCCATCTTAGATCTGTCTCTCCCCAATCCCCATCCTTCCCCCGATTTAGAGATTCAGCAAAGGCATCGTTCAGCCAAGAAGACTCGCGAAACTTTATCAGCGGAGGCGGGTTTCTTATTCCAATTGGAGCGAATCGATCTTTCTCCTTCCTCCTCCGACATCGGTTCTCTTTCGTCGCAAAATCGAATCCATGAGAATCAAATCAAGATCTATCACCAGATCTAGGTTGAGACCCCACTTCGTCGCTGTGAGAAGTCGATGCCTCATCGAATTCGTCAACATCGATCTTGCTGGCGAGCCTTGAGGCCGGGCCAAAACTTGACCTCATATACATCATCGTCAATGGCACCTTCGCAGTGGCGGCTGGTGATGTTCGTCTTGGATCCGGAACAAGGAGGAGAAGAGAAATTACTTTCCAAGGAACTCTCTGAGAACCTCCTCGGTCTTCTCGCACTTGCAGAGAAACTTTACAGGCTCCACCTCCTCCGTCTTGCAGTTCGACCTCACCACTTTCCTCGTCGAGCAAACCTCATCGGACGACTGCTTCTTGTAGGCTTCAATTTCGCCGACGGAGGACGAAGACTTGAATTCTTCCGATTCATCGTCGTCCTTCCACACCCATCCCATTTTCGGCGCGAATCACTCGCTCCTTTTGTTGTGCTCGATCTGTAAGCCCCGGTTGTCTTCCCGCACAATCTAGAAATTTAGCCACCGCCTTTTCTTCGCGATGTTTTCCGGCTGGTGATGTTCGTCTAGAAATTTAGCTCCGGTTGTATTCCGGCTGGTGATGTTCGTCTTGGATCCGGAACAAGGAGGTCTGATGGCGTCGATTTGGGGACAGAGAACAGAGAGGCCAGGGTTTGGATTTTTGCTGGCGAATGGTCGGGGACAAAGAACGGAGAGGCTAGTGGAATTTTTTAATTTATTGATTATTTTTATAAATTTTAATTATTATTTAATTAAAATATGACGTGGCTGCCACGTTGCTGCCACGTTGCTGCCACATCGACCCCAATCTGACGTCATTTTCAAAACCGTCTGGTCAACCGTTAAATCTAACGGTCAACAAAATCGCTAGGATACAAATGACACAAAGTATCATAGTTTAGGACAGAAATGAAATATTGAAAAAAATAGGACACAAGTGGCATTTTTGTCATAGTTCGGGTGTTGTAGTGGTATTAGCCCTTATCATTATGAAAATGGAACTAATGATACATTTTATATTTTATATTCTTAAATGATGATGATATTTCTCCGAATGTTAGACCTATATATTCTTTCTTTATGTATCATTTCGATCGAAGAATTGTCAATAAAATTAAACTGATTGATTAGCTTCAACGTAAAATAAAAATAAAAATAATCAAATATGAATATTCAGGCCCATTCAGGCCAATGGGCCTGGTTAAAAGCCAGTAATAGGAAACAATTAAATTTCTAAACTCATGTTTTAGGCTTTGTCAAGTAATCGTGGCTAGACAAATATACAAATTTGTACAGCAATCTAATTATTGGAAAAATTTTAAGTCGTGGTGGGAAATTAAAATTTTTTTTTTTAAATTAGTATTTGATTGGTGCGCGGTTGTGGCGGACTGGTGGTAGGTAGGTACCAGACAAGGCAGCTTACCTACTACCCGCTGCTCCGCCTTCCGGCCAACCTTTCCCTCCCTCGTAAACCAATCAAAATTCATTCTCCTTCTGCGCCACCAGCTACTACTCCGCCGGCAAACAGTAAAAAATGTCCCTGTCATCTTCCACCGAGGACTCCTCATCTCCGGCGATCATCACCTGTAAAGGTACGACTTCTACTCCTAATCCCAAACAAAACGTTTGAATTAGTAATACATAGTAAGATTCTGCCTGCATTTTGATTGAATTGCTCGATCGATGGTGAAATGCTGTGATGTAAAATATGTAGCGGCGGTGGCGTGGGGCGCCGGAGAGCCGTTGGTAATGGAGGAAGTTGAATTGAGTCCACCGCATCCCCACGAGATTCGGATCAAAGTCTTCTCTTCTTCTCTCTGCCGCTCCGACATTTCCGCTTGGGAATCTCAGGCCAGTTCCTTGACCTTCGTTACTCTACAACCAATTTAACTAGCGCCACCAATTAGGGATCATCTTTTTCTTCTAATGCCTAATTTCTTTTCGTCTACTTCTTTCATGTTGCTGCAGGCAATATTTCCAAGGATATTTGGCCACGAAGCATCAGGGTCTCTTCCACAACTCTTCTCCATTGTTATCTGATCAATTAGATGCATTTCAGTTAGTAGAAATAGTTTTCATGAAAATTGGATGTTTGTTATACGATTAGAGCTAGCGATATGCCTTCGGGCGAGCAATGGGGTGGCTTTCTTAAAGCGTAAAGTCGTTTCTGCAGGATTGTTGAGAGCATAGGAGAAGGGGTGACCGAGTTTAAAGAAGGGGATCATGTGCTCACTGTGTTTACAGGAGAATGTAGGACTTGCAGGCAGTGCAGATCAGGGAAAAGCAATGTGTGCCAGGTGCTAGGGTTGGAAAGGAGAGGTGTGATGCATAGTGATCAGAGGACTCGGTTCTCGATCAAAGGGAAGCCCGTATTCCATTACTGCGCTGTTTCGAGTTTCAGTGAGTATACGGTGGTCCACTCTGGTTGTGCCGTCAAGGTTAGCCCAAATGCACCTCTGGAGAAGATATGCCTTCTTAGCTGTGGAGTTGCTGCAGGTATATCACATTTCCTTCCTCTTATTCCTTGTGCCCACTTGTGCCATCTATCAGACAGCTGATAGGGCTCAAGAGTCTAAGATCCTATAGCCGCTAACTTCTCAAAAAGTACATCATGTGCAGTTGTAACTTAATTGACAAGTCAAGATAATGAGGTATCTAGCAGAACACAATAACAACGAGATAGTTTTCTGTTTATATCAAGCATAGGTAACAATTTGGGGGTTTATACTGTAGGCTTAGGAGCAGCTTGGAATGTTGCTGGTGTATCCGAGGGATCAACTGTGGTGATCTTCGGACTTGGAACTGTTGGCCTCTCAGTAAGTCGGGACATTCATATAATGTGAAACAGTAAATTATTTTACAAATTGTTTGCTTCTTCGTCTTTTTTTCCCCCCATTACATTTAACTGATTAGGTTGCGCAAGGCGCTAGACTCAAAGGCGCATCTCGTATAATTGGTGTGGATACTAACCCTGACAAATGCGAGAAAGGTATCATCATCATCATCATATGGCTGTCAGGATTTCTAACCGGTTCATGCATCTCATGTTTATTTTCTATGGTTACAGCAAAGGCTTTTGGAGTTACAGAGTTCATCAACCCAAGTGACAGTAGCGAACCCATTCAACAGGTATTGCTTGTGTATTAAACATTTTTTGGTAACCAACAAGGGTACTGAAGAAGCATCTGATACAAGATTGGCATGTGGGTTCATAGTTTATGTAGTGAGCCTTTCATCTTTCAACCGGCAAAGTTCAATATCTCTTAGCAACTGACAACGGCCTTTGTGTTCCAGTTTTGGATAATGCTTTGTCCATGGTATTGAACTTTCTTCCCCAGGTTATAAAGCGAATCACTGATGGAGGAGCAGATTACTCATTTGAATGCATAGGCGACACTGGGATGATAACTACTGCTTTACAATCATGTTGTGATGTAATGATCCACCCTTCCACGTTCAAACCTCGCACTTCTTCATCTCCACAGACAGTGATTGTTCAGGGGATTTTGAGTTTGACATCGAAGTTCATTGTCTTGTTTGTTTCATGTGGCATCAGGGATGGGGATTGACAGTCACTCTCGGCGTGCCAAAAGTAAAGCCTGAGATGTCTGCTCATTATGGCTTGCTGCTTACGGGGAGAACACTCAAGGGAACTCTATTCGGAGGGTGGAAGCCTAAATCTGACCTCCCTTCTTTAGTCGACATGTACATGAACAAGGCAAGTACAAGCATCTTACCTAGCATTACCCCCTTTCCTCGATGCGTACTTTCTCCTGATTCTGGAATTAAAAGATTCTATATTATGGAGTTTCAGGAAATCGAGGTTGACGGTTTCATTACACACGACCTCCCATTCGAGGATATCAACACAGCCTTTAGTCTCATGACAGAAGGGAAGTGCCTTCGCTGTGTTATTCACATGCCCAGATAAACTACCTCTCTAGTCTCTTCTTTGTCCTCTATTCGTTTGATGATTATGCTTTCTGGTTCAACAATCTCAAGTCTGAAACTCATTCTCTTTCTTCTGCTATAAAAAAAACATACCAGTTGATCATCCATCTTATGCTTCTCCCCCGTTACGTTATTGTCTGTTTGGATTAAGTAAGCATCCTTCATTCTCTTTTGTTTTGTTTGTCCGGATTTGAGATAATGCGTGATATGTGCGGTAATAGGTAGCTGATGAAGTTTAGGTGCTTGGGAGATAAAAAGAATAACTTCAGGGACTGAATTAATCTTTTTGGCTTATTTTTATTTTATTACTTATTTTTTCCGCTTTCCAATTCGTAGAAGGAAACGGATTCCGAAGAGGAAAAGGAAAACTTGATTACCAAGGAAATAGCCGAACTAGGCTTTCCCAATTCCTTCGTCTATAAATATTACCCGAACTAAATCGAATCTTCCATCCTCCACAAACGACGCAGCAGATTCCGCGTGTTGCCTAAAAAGCTCCCAAATCAGTTCAAATTACTTGCTTCCGCCTCTTGGCTAACCCTAGAAATCAAAGCTTCAGCCACCGTCATCGCCATGATCGCCGGCCAACACACCGACGAAACTCCCGCCGTCCCCACCGCCACCATCGGCGGGAAGCGTCGGAAGATCGAGATCAAGAGAATCGAACAGCAGTCCAGCCTGTTCGTAGCCTTCTCCAAGCGAAGGACGGGCCTGTTCGGGAAGCTGGACAAGTTCTGCAAGATGAGCCCGCGGGGGACGGAGGCGGCGATAGTTACATTCTCGCCGGCGGCCAACAAGGCCCACGCGCACGGGTCCCCGTCCGTGGATCCCGTCCTCCAGCGGTTCCTGGACTACATGGCCGGTGCGGAGGCGGCGGCGAGAAAGCGGTCGCCTCAGCCGGAGAGAAGAAGGCTGTCGATTGTGGCGGCGGAGAGAAGAGACGGCGACGAGGACGGAAGTGGGGTTTCCTGCGCGGAGGAGTCGATGGAATTGGAGGAGCTGAAAGAGTCAGAAACGGCGCTGTTGAGAGCGAAGAGAGATTTGGAGATGAGAATGTCGGAGGATTTGATCAGGGAATCTCGCACCAAGAAATTCTTGTAGCTCGGTTTCTTGGGTTTAGGAAATTAGGAAGGGAGGAAGGCATAGGGTTGTAGTATTCTTGAATACACGGATTTTCTTTTTTGACGTACTTTTGAATACACAGATTCTGTAAAGCAACGGCAATTATTCTTATTGAGAAACTAGGTTGATTTTCTATTCTGAATAAAATCATAAAAGCTTCCGTTACACATTCCTAGTAGTTTTTCATTGGTGTTGCGAAGCAAGTGGGTTGGAACACCATCCGAAGACCAAAATCTTCATATCGCTTCTCACCGGCAACTAACTCGATCTTTCGGGTCCTGAAATCGAACGAGAAAATAACAATATCTCCCTCAGATTGATCACAATAACATCGCATGAAGAAAATCTCCGGCGTGTCTGGATGTTGAGCAAGTACGGATAAAATTTCCAGATCCTTAACTTCGGAACCGCTGTTACCCTTTAACGCCATTACCGACGCTTCGTAGCAGATGGTCCACTTCCTGCTGCCTTTTCCCCACTTCCAAACTCGGCAACCATCGCAGGCTCACTAACAATATCGGGTTGAAGTTGAATTATGTATAGAGCACCATTGGAGGCTGAAAAATGAGAACAAAACTCCATGAATTTCATAGCATCGACAGTTGTTGGAGGCATATCCCGGCGGCGAAAAGGATTTAACCTGCAAATTTTCTGGTCATACTTCCAGTACAGCTTCCCATTCAACGATGCTGCATCAGGTTGAAGACGACAATTGTTTCTCCACGACCATTTTCGGGACTTGGAGCAAAACACCTATGTTTCACACCTACTTATCATCGTTAAATAGGTTCTATATTCAAGCAGAACGAGGAATCAATAGTCGGAAGAGTACATGAATACTTGTCCATCGCCCAATTCCAAACTCTTCTTAGAATTACGAACTTCTTTACAGACCAATCTGACTTCCGCAGTTCGATAATAGCTGGTTATCCTTTCAGGCGCCAGAGGAAGTGCAACCCACTGCTTTGTAAGCGGATTGCAGAGCAAGAACAATCTGCCCATCTCTCCGAACCCCAATCCTTAAATCCGCATAGGAACAAGTCCTTGAAGGAATCCCAAATTACGAATTCGGATCGAATTTCTCCAGGCACGGGGAGGAAGCTCAGGATCGACGACGACAGGGGGTCGTCGGAGGGGAGAAGCAGAGGTGGTTCTCTGTTTCTGCTCTGGTGGTGAGAGACGAAACGGAGATTGAAGGAGGGATTGGAGATCATGGAGTTCCACCGCTTGCATACTGGTTTGCAGCGGGAGGCGGATCTAGGGTTTGGGAGGCGAATCAGGATTTCTCCACGACAGCAGGTTCTTGCAGACACGACGAAGAAAACCTATGCCGAGGCCGTTAAGAACAGGGGATTTTATGGAGCGGGTCGTTGCAGCATAAGAGGTAAAGGCGCAGACCGCTTCATTGATATTGAAGACGTCGGGGTGTCAGAGAGATGTGAACTGCTGGGTAGAAGCTTGATCATTACTTTTAAGCCGACAGCTGGGGAGTGTTTTGTCCGGGACGACGCTAAGGACTTCAAGCGATGGGCGAATCGGCATTGGGCCACCGATGACAATTTCGACTGGCACTATTTTGACAACGGGAAGTGGCTTCTATCATGCCCAAGTGTTCAACACGCTGTCCGCATCAGAGGCTTCAATCAGTGCTCCTTTAAAAATTTCAATATCCTCATCTCGTTTTGGCCGGAGGAGGGTCAGAAGGATTGGTACGATGATTCTCAATGGATTTTGGTATTTGGGATCCCGCTTCATCTGAAAAGCATCGATCTTATTAATTTGATCGGAAGATTTTGTGGCAAATTGTTAGAGGTCGATTGGAATCACTGGTCCGCGGACTTCATTCGCATTCGGGTGAGAATGATCGATGAGCCGCCGTCGACCATCCCTGTTCGGTTCGCCGGGGAGCGGTTCTCGATCCGAATCATCACGGCGCCGATGTCCGCTCAGAAAGGGAGACCCGCCTCGGAAGCCGATTCAAGCGGGGAGTTGAAACGCCTTGCATCGTGCAATGCCCCCATGCATCCAATGCAAGGCCACATGTTGAAGCGACCGAGGGTGAATCAATTGGTGGATACCCCGAGGCGTGCTGATTCTCTTTCGGCGGTGGGACCCGGCCAACAGCAGCTCACCGATAACGTCAACTACTTCGCAGGGCCCAGGCGGCTTGGGAGGAAAATATGGGTCAGGAAGTTCGGCCCTATCAACCGCCCCCCTCTGGGCCTTTCACGGGGGTCTGCTTGTGTGGAGGAGGACTGGGCCTTGTACAGGCCTGGGCCCACGCCTTGTGTGCAGGAGGTCAGTGTGAATATGCTTAGGTCCGTGTACCAGTTGTTGTCCAGGCCCGGGCCCAGATTTAACCCTGCTGTGGACGAATTGGGTTGGCTTTGTTCGGTTTTCATTCCAGGGGTTAGACCCGCTAATTCTGTTGCTCCAATTCGCAACCTTTGCCCACCGTTTTGTATTATCTCTTTTGGTCTAACCTCACCTTCTTCCCGATCCATATACTCCGATGACCCATCTGTTCCAGTCCCCCTGGCCATTACCTCTCCTCCCTCCTCCTTTCACAGTCAGTGCTCAGATCTAACCAGCCCGCCTTCATCCCCCGGTTCGCATTTCGCGTTGAGTTCCAGCTTCGGGGATTTTGATTTTCCTTCCCCCTCGTGCGTTCCGGACAGTCAAGCTAGGGTGGGAAGTCAAGACGATTTCCCCTTTGACGCAGCAACTCTCGTGGCCACCAGCATTGAATTGAGCAGTTTATTCAAGATTGAAATGGAGGGTGGAGCGGATAATGTGGTGAAATTGATAGAGAATACCGCCAGGGAAATGCATCAGAGAAAAGTGCGCCAACCCAGGTCCAAACTTGAAATGGAAAGACACAGACTAGGATTGATTGAGGTGCCAGTTTCAGGTGATCGCAGGAGCCGCAGAAGGGGTGGGGATGAACATGCTGAACCAGTATAATGGAGTGCTCTGTGATTGTGTGGAATGTAAGGGGGTTGGGGGATAGTGCGAAAAGGTCCAGGATTAAGCGCGTACTGTGTTTGAGGAAACCGAAGATCGTTGGACTCGTTGAGACCAAGTGGAATGTTTGCAATGATGAGCTGATCAGGAGCATCAGCGGAAACAGGGACAGTGGTTGGGCAGCAAAAAATGCGGAGAATAGCGCAGGTGGGATAGCTGTTTACTGGGACAAGGAAGTTGTGAGAGCTCTCGCGTATAGGGAGGGGAGATTCCATTTGTCTGTCGATCTTCAGGAGGTGAACACACTAAAAGTTTGGACTCTCTCTGTCGTGTATGGGCCTCAAGAGAGGGAAGCTAAACTGGAGTTCATCAACGAAATTCACTCCTTGTGTCTGAGCGCGGCCAACCCCCTTTGTATTGCAGGTGACTTCAACCTTGTTAGAGGCCACGAGGATTACAGGGGTGGGAGGCGGTGCACGATGTTGATGGAAAAATTCAACGATGTGATCGATAATAACCAGCTTTTAGAACTACCTCTCGGAGGCTGTAACTTTACGTGGGGAAGAGGGGACGGTTCGGGGTCCCTCTCGCGTATTGACAGAGTTTTTATTAATGCGACTTTTGATGCTTTGTATCCTGATTGCACTTTGACGGCTATGGAAAGGGTTGAATCGGATCATAATCCCTTGTTGATCAAATGGGGTGCTACGCTTAGGGTCCGAAGGCCATGGAGGTTTCTGAACATGTGGCTGGAGGACCCGAGATTCTTTGAGGGTCTCGAAATGTGGATGAGGAGCACGGTGAGTGGGCACGGTAAAGCTTTCCTGTGGGTTAAGAGGCTTCAGAATCTGAAACAGACCATCAGAATATGGAATAAAGAGGTTTTTGGCAATATCAATTCGAAGATCGAGGAGTCTCTTGGTCTTATCAAGGGGCTGGACATGGTGGAGGAATCTCGTTCACTTACAGATGCGGAACAAGCAGACAGGCAGGATTTGAGAGCTGTTTTGAGCAGGCTCTTTTTCCTCCAAGAGATTCATTGGAGACAGTTGTCTAAAGAATTGTGGCTGAAGGGAGGAGATAACAATACTAGCTTCTTCCACAGGGTTGCTAATTATAAAAGAAAGCTCAATTTGATCGATTGCATCAACATCAATGGAGTTAGGCATGAAGGGAGGGAGCTTCTCGGCAGAGGCATAGTGGGGTATTACCAGAATTTGTTCAAGGATACTGTTTCGAGGCGTCCTTTTCCGAGGTCGCACACCGATAGGAGAATTGATGCCGCTGATATTGCGGCCTTGACCTGTGCTTTTTCGGAAAAGGAGGTTTGGGTCAGCTTGGCGGACTGCGACGGGGGGAAAGCCCCCGGGCCGGACGGGTTTTCCTGGGAGTTCTACAAAAAGGCTTGGTCTCTCATCCGGGAGGAGTTCTTGAACGCCATTGCTGAATTTTTCAATACTGGTGTTCTGCCGGAGTGTGCTACACACTCATTTCTTTGTCTCCTGCCGAAGCGTGATGCCGTGGAGGACATCAAGGATCTCCGCCCTATTAGCCTGATGAGCAGCTTGAATAAAATTATTAGCAAGGTGCTGGCCCGTCGTCTCAGCAATGTTCTTCCCAAGATTGTGTCTCAGAACCAGCATGCTTCGGTTAGAGGAAGGCAGATCTCTGAGGCTGGTCTTATTGCTTTCGAACTGCTGGACAGCCGCAGGAAGAGTCGCAAGCCGGGACTTATGTTTAAGCTGGATATCGAAAAGGCATTTGACAACGTGAGCTGGGACTGCTTGTTTAAGACTATGTCATCTATCGGTTTCCCGGCACAGTGGAATAAATGGATCAAAGGTACTATGTGTTCCCCGGTCATATCCACCTTGATCAACGGCGAGTCGAAGGGGTACTTCAAGCCGCAGAAGGGGTTGCGTCAGGGTGATTCGCTCTCTCCCGGTTTGTTCACTCTCATTATGGACATTCTTTCCTTCATGTTGAACAAATTGCAGGAGGAGGGGAAGATTAGAGGCTTTTGTATGGACGAAGTAAATGGCAATGGTGAGGTTACACATCTTCTGTTCGCCGATGACACTTTGATCTTCTGCGACGCTGCTTATGATCAAGTTCTGAATATTCTCGCTACTTTGGTGTGTTTCCAAAGTGTTACGGGACTGAGGATTAACCTTGAGAAGTCGGTCATGATTACTGTTGGGGATGTAGCGATTCCGGAATTCTTTGCTGCTACTTTTGGGTGTAATTGGAGCAACGAGCCCTCGAAATACCTTGGCTTCCCTCTCGGCGCCAAGGTCAATGCTATCTCCACTTGGGATCCTATTATCAATAAGTTTGAGCAGAGGCTTGACGGATGGAAGAGTAGATTTCTGTCTTTCGGTGGCCGTTTGGTGTTGAACAAAAGTACTCTTTCCGGGCAGCCGATTTATTTCTTCTCCTTACTTCGGGCTCCTATCGGTGTGCTGAACAGGTTTGAGGCAATCCAAAGAAGATTTTTGTGGAGCGGTGCCGGGGATAATCACAAGACCCCGCTCATTAAGTGGGAGATTTGCAAAGCAAGTATTGAGAATGGGGGCTTGGGTATTAGAGATATGGCCTGCTTTAACAAAGCTATGCTGTCTAAATGGCTTTGGAAGTACGCTACGGAGAGAGAGAGCTGGTGGAGACAACTCATAGAGTTCAAATACAAGGCTAGCAATTCCCAGTGGCAGAGCAAACAGTGCAGGAATGGGTTTGGAAGTTCGGTGTGGGCCAACATCTCTAAGGAATACGGTGAATTCTGGAAAGTGGCAGTTATTGACCCGGGTGGCGGGGCGGGTGTTTCCTTTTGGAACGACTGCTGGTTACCTCAGACGACTCTTGCGCATTCCTTCCCGAGAGTTGCCGCTGCCGCTGCGAATCCCGAGGCTTTGCTGCCTGATGTCATAAGCCGATCAGGTGAGGGTCCTAATTGGAATATTGAGTGGAATATCGATTTTTCTTTAGTCTTGAGGGGAGGGGCTGAGAGGGAGAGAGAGAGTTTCTTCACTCTTTTGAATTCTATTGATAAGCACAGGATCGTTTGCGGCCCCAGCAGATTGGCGTGGTGTTCTAATCCCGATTCGAGCTTTTCAGTGCGCTCCATGTACAGGTTATTGACGGATGGGCGATTCCATGGGGTGCCCAACTTCCCTAGTGAATCCGTGTGGAGAAAGAGCATTCCTTCGAAAATCAATGCGTTCATGTGGATGGTCGCGCACAAGAGGATATTGACGATGGACAAAATTCAACAGAGGGGCTGCTCCATTGCTAACAGATGTTGTATGTGTTGTAGGGATGAAGAATCGGTTGATCATTTGTTTACTCGGTGCGAGTTCGGGTTGGAGATCTGGACTGAAGTAAGAAGAATGTGTGGTGATTCCTTCGCCCCACAAGAGCAGATCCTAGACACCATCAAGTGTTGGAAGAGTGACGTTCCGGACACTACGACGGACTGGATCGGCTTCTGCATTCTCCACGCCGTGTGCTGGCAAATTTGGCTCGAGAGGAATAGGCGTGTTTTCCAGGATGCTAGCAGAAGCGCCAAGGAGGTCTTTTGGATTGCTATCAGATCCACGGCGGATTGGCTAGTCGCGAAAGGCAAGATCAGCAGGATTCAGGTGATGGAGTGGCTCCGCCCCTTGAGGCTGAACTGACACAGGGGCATTTTTCGGTGGGGTTGTTGCCGTGGGTTCGTTCGCTGGCTGTTGTCGTGTTTGTCGGCTGCCTTTCAGGTGCTGGGCTAGTTGGAATCCTCTGGTATCCTTGTTCGGGTTCGGGTTGCTGGTGGCGGCCGGGTTGTTGACCGCGCCTCGCCCCTGTCTTCTTCTTCTCTCTGTCTGTTTTCCTCTGCTCTTCTCAGTGATGGTTGTGGTCGGATGGGGCTTTGATTCCCGTTAGTTTGACAGTTTGGTCTTGGTCTTGGTCCTTGTTTCGTGAGGGACTTTGCTCTCTGTGCGTGGCTGTCCTTTTCAGGCTGTCGGGTGTTTCTTTTTTTTTTTTTTTTTTTTTTTTTTTTTTTTTTTTTTTTTTTTTTTTTTCCGTGGGTGCTGCACCTCTGGTGCCGCTTTTTTCTTTCTGTATCTCGGACTGGTTCCGTTTTGGTTCTATTTTAATGCAATTCTCACCCTTATCAAAAAAAAGGATTGACAGATTGAGCACTCTTTTTAGTTTTTACCACAGTGGACGCGACCGCTCTTTTGGGTTCTCCTAGACTGATTCGGATTTAGATTTTACTAGCTTTTACCCAACCCGTTGGTCGGATGAATTTTGTATTATATTTTGTTGTTTTGTATTAACCAATTTGCATATTTTCAAAAAATTTACAGTCTTTTAAATAGTTTATTCATAAAGGGAAAATAATATTTGTGTTACTTTTGAATTTTATATTAGTAAGTAATTAGTTCTGGTGATGTGGCCATTCTAGGTTACTGGTATCTATATTTTTTTATATTTTAGAAGAAAATTTTATACTTTTTTACATTCAATATAAATTGCTGAAATTGTTTTTCTTTATAAGATTTTTTATTATCGATGTACGGATCCATACCTCTTGAATTCCAAAAAAAAAAAAACATGTAAAATTTCTAAAGTGAATATAAAAAAGAACAAAATGCTACCGGTTATATTTCATATTCGCTACCACACACGGTGAAAGAAACTGGAAAACAAAAGTCACTGTAGGTCAGTTTAATTTTGTTATTAGGCAATTTATCAGTGAAAAGAGAAGGAGCCCCGACAATAAAAACTATAGGTTAGCACAATTGTTTGAGCCCAAATTAGATGAATAAAGCAGACAACTCTGAGTTCTCAAAGAGAGCTTTCACAAATATCTAAGGCTAGCAGTTTCAGTAATAGAAAATATATGTGCACATCAAAACTCATCGCAACTTTCAGTTCCAGCCCTAGCCCGCCAAAATATTGATCTTTCCTTCTCCTTCTTTTGCTGCAGCATTTCAATTCACATTCTAAAAATAGAAACA